TGTCAATGTATCTGAGCCCTGGTATTCCAGTCAGGGCATACAAATCCTTGAAGATCTTAAAAGGGCCCTGCAGAGATCTCGGAGGGGGGTAGGTCTGGTGATAGCAGGAATTGCCACCCTCATTGCATTAATAGCCTCTTCTGTGATGGCTGCTGTGACCTTAGCTGAAACAGTTCAAACTGCACAATTTGTTAATCAATTGTCTGAAAATGTGAATTGGCTTTGGAGATGCAGGAGGATATTGACAGAAGGGTGGAACATAAATTAAATGCCCTATACTCAGTAGTTTTACATTTGGGAGATGAATTTGAAACCTTAAAAATGAAATTTAAGCTACAATGTCATGTAAATTATAATTGGATGTGTGTCACTGGAAAGGAATTTAATTTTTCACAATATAATTGGGAAAAGGTTCAATTGCATTTGCAGGGTGTGTGGCATCATGAGAACCTGTCCCTGGATTTGTTACGCTTACATCAGGAGATAGTTGCCATGCAGGAAGCCGAACCTCTTCATTTTGATGCCTCAGAATATGCTCAACAATTTTTAAGTCAATTATTAGATCATTTGCCTTCCCTGATGGGAGTCTCTCATATGTTAATTGGTCTTTTGGTGGTGATTGGAGTTCTTTTGATGATTTCTATGTTGCTCCCTTGTCTATTTAAATTTGTCTTGCAGACTTTTTCCTGTGCCTTTGGAGAGATTCATGGCCTTTGGCTTCGTGCTTTGCCTCCCCAACTGGTAATTTAATCTGAAAGGCTGGTAGTCAATGATGGGTAAGGAGGGAGTCAGCGAAATTACCGACCTAAGACAGAGGTGGGATAAATTCTGTCCTTTTCTCAATGACGGGTAAGGAATTTCGCAGTGACCCTCCACCTAAGACAGGCACAGTCTTCTTCATAACAGTCATTTTTATAAAAATAGAGGGGGAGATGTGGAGAGCCAACAGCTCTGTAAGTATTAAGATGGACAACTTGGATTTCCTATGAAAGGGTTAAGTGAAATATTGTAGAGCTTGCTGACCAGCTCTGAAGAAGCTAGGCATAGGAGAAAATGATAAGAACAGCACAAGGACACGGAGCTAGGGAAAAGAAAACACGGGACTGTCTCAAGGCCTGGGGAATTTCCAGATGTGCCTTATGTAAGATGTTTTCTATTGTTGAGTACTATAAAAGAGAACAGTACAGTCAATAAAGCAGCTCAGTAACTGGGAGCCCTCCTGACTCTGTTTCTTTGTCTTTCTTTTCTTAATCCTCACTTCCCCATTCAGGAACCGTTCAACAGGTGACGGCAGGCTCCGTCACACATCTAAAAAATGAAATAACTAGGAATCAACCTAACAAAGGAAGCAAAAGACCTCTACGATGAAAACTACAGCACTCTGAAGAAGGAGATCAAAGAGGATACAAGAAAATGGAAAGATATCCCTTTTACCAGGGTAGGAAGAACCAATATAGTGAAAATGACCATACTTCCCAAACTACTATATATATTCAATGAAATGCCAATTGAAATTCCAGCATTATACTTCACAGAACTAGAGAAAATAATCCAAAAATTCATTTGGAAACAGTAGAAACCTAGAATAGCAAAAGTAATTCTAGGTTACAGAGACATGGCTGAGGATATCACAATCCCCAACTTGAAACTATACTACAAAGCTACTGTGATAAAAACAGCATGGTACTGGCAAAGGAACAGACCCAAAGATCAGTGGAATAGATTAGAAGATGCAAAAACAACTCCAGACATACTCAGTCACCTCATCTTTGACAAAGGAGCCACCACCCTCATTGGACCAAAGATAGCCTATTTAATAAATGGTGCTGGTAAAACTGGATTTCAACCTGTCAGAGATTAAAACTAGACCCATACCTATCACGGCACACTAAACTAAGACTGAAGTGGGTTAAAGATCTAAATATTAAGTCAGAAACACTAAATTTGTTGGAAGATAAGTTAGGTAGAACTTTTGATGACACTGGCATAGGAAAAGACTTTATGAACAAATCTTCAGTAGCATGGGAGCTAGCACAAAGAATCCACAACTGGGATCTCATCATATTAAAAAGCTTCTGCACTACGAGAGAAACTACCAACAGAGCTAAGAGAAAACTTACATTGTGGGAAGAAATATTTAGCAGCTGTAGCTCTGACAAAGGTCTACTGTCAAAAATATATGAAGAATTGAAAAAAATCAGGCCCCCCAAATTCAAAGACCCAATTCAAAAATGGGCATCTGAAATGAACAGACATTTCTCAGACAAAAAAGTAAAAACAGCAAATAAATGTGTGAAAAAATGTTCAACATCACTGGTCATTTGAGAGATGCAGATAAAAACAACACTGAGATTCCACCTCACCCCAAAAAGAATGGCTGCTATCAAGAAATCAACCAATAACAAATGCTGATGGGGGTGTGGAGAGAAAGGAACCCTTCTCCATCGTTGGTGGGAATGTAGATTGGTGCAACCACTGTGGAAATCAGTATGGAGATACCTCAAAGAACTAGGTCTAGAGGTCCCATTTGACCCAGCTATTCTCCTACTGGGAATAGTCCCCAATGAAGAAAAAGAATCTTACCACAGCGAGAGTTTATTGTGGCACAGTTTGTAATAGCTAAAGCTTGGAAACAGCCCAAGTGTCCATCGACTGGAAACTGGATAAAGAAGATGTGGTGTTTTTTTTATAAAATTGAGTACTACTCAGCCATAAAGAATGAGAAGCTAGAGACATTTATAGCTAAATGGATGCATATTGAGGTCATACTCTTAAGAGAAATAAATAGGACACACATGTGTAAATACTTAATAGTTTCTCTAGTGTGAGAAATTGAAAGTGTAAATAAGGATGAAAATGATTAAAATGAATAATTGATAATTTGAAATAAGAAAAGGTCCAAGGGTTTGGGGATCATGGAAGGGGAAAGGGAAGAGGAAAGTGAAGAATGGAAAGGAAAAATTATGAGAAAAATGGAATCAAATCTGTGTATATATGGGAGTATGGAAGGGGTGAAGGGTGTACAGGTAATGGGAGACAAAATAAAAACTAAGATACATCATGTTCTGGTACAAACACCCAATGATAAATGTAAATGTATTTTATATCAAAAATGTGCCAATAAATATATATATATATATATTTTAAAAATGTTCTGGTATGTTGTACTTGCATTATCATTTAGTTCTAGGAAATGTCTTTTTCTTCCTTAATTTCGTGACACATTGTTTATTTCAAAGCATATTGTTTTGTTGCCTTACATTTGCATAATTTCTGTTTTCTTTTGTTGTTTATTTTTAACATCACTGTGCTGTGGTCTGATAATAGCAACGGGATAATTTCAATTAATTTACATTTACTTGAGATTGATTTATTTCAACCCTTACACATTGTTGGTGGAAATGTAAACTAGCACAGCCACTATGAAATCAGTACGGAGAGTCCTTCAAAAATACAAAATTAAAAATAGAGGAAACATAAGATGTAGTCTATCATTCCATGTTATATAATCCAAAGTAATTAAAGTCAGAATACAATACAAATATTTACATAGCAATATTTATTGTGCTGTTAGTCACAGTAGCAAAGTTACAAAATAAACTTAGATGCTCATCAGTGGATGAAGGATAAAGAAAAAGTTATATATATACATATATATGTATATATATATATATAATGAAATGTTATTCAATGATAAAGTAAAGCAAAATCATGTCATTCTCAGGAAAATTCATGGACTTGAAGATCATCATTCTAAGAAAATCAAGACAGACACTGAAACCCAAACATGACATTTCTTTTTATATATACAATCAAGGTGGGGGTAGATGACATGATAGGAGAAGAGGGACTATCAGGGAAAGCAAAGGTGCCCATATGAAGTCTAAGCAGGGGGAATATGGAGGATGGATGTAACTAATCCCAATAACATGCACCAGGGAAGAGTCACAATGAAAACTATTATTGTGTACAACTAGTACATGGAAATAATTGTAATGAAAAGGAAGGATGGAAAGAAAGAAACAAAGAAATAAAGAAAGAAATGTAGAAAGAAAGGAGAGAGAGAAAGAAAGAAAGAAGAAAGAAAGGAAGAAAGAAAGAAGGAAAGAAAGAAGAAAGAATTTGTTACCAAACAGCCAAAGATGTATGAACTATGCTGCAGATCCTCTCTATAAAGAACAGACACATATGAAGGGTTTAGTGAAGGACTATGGCTATGAGACTAAATATGATCAAATATTCTGATCCCAAGAGTGTTTTCAATCATTGAGGTGGCTGATATTAACAACTGGGAAATCTTTCTTGAAGCTCATGAATGTTCTTTTGGAAAAGCAAGTGTAATAAGTCTGCTTACTGATGTGTGCCTGTGATTGCTCAGAAGACAGGGAGGGATCATCTGGCTGTTAAAGACTTCACCTTTCCCTGAGATTGCAGGATCCTCTTCCATGCTATCTGCACATCCTTGTTTCTCAGGGTGTAGATGAGTGGGTTGAGCAGGGGGGTGATAACGCAGCAGAAAAAGGACATGAACTTGGCTTGGGAAGTCTTAGATGAAGGCTGCAGGTACAAGTACATGCCTGGTGCAAAGTACAGGGTGACCACCAGCAAGTGGGAACTGCAGGTGCTGAGTGCCTTGCGCCTTCCTTCAGCTGAAGGTAGCTTGAGTATAGCCCTAGCAATGAAGGTGTAGGAGATGACCATCATCAGGGGAGCCAGCATTCCAAATGGAATGGTCACCAATGTGATGGCCAGCTCATTAGCAGAGGTATCCCCACAGGCCAGCTTTATGAGCACAGATACCTCACAGAAGAAGTGGTCCAGGGTGTGGTGCCCACAGAGCGGGAGCTGGAGGGTAAGTGAGGCTTGGAGCAGAGCATTGGCCAGGCCACTGGACCAGGAGACAGCTGCCATCTGTATACACACCCAGGGACGCATGATGAGAGTGTACTGGAGGGGCCGGCAGATGGCCACATAGCGATCAATGCCCATCATGGCCAGCAGGGCACATTCAGTGCTGGCTGCCAAGCAGAATAGATAGCTCTGTATGATGCAGCCCCAGGAAGTAATGGTCCTTTCTGGTCCCCACAGGTTGGCCAGCAGCTGGGGCACAGTGGTGCAGGTGATACACAGATCCAGCAGAGAGAGGTTGTCCAGGAAAAAGTACATGGGCGTCTGGAGTCTGGGGTCCACCAGGGATAGGAAGATGATGGAGCTGTTCCCCACCAGTGTGAGGAGGTAGGAGACCAGGACCACTGCAGAGAGGGGCCTCTCCAGCCATGGAAACTCTGAGAAGCCCAGCAGGACAAAAGTATTGGGAAAGCTCATGTTTCCCCTTTCCATGGCATGTGTCTCTAATATATGGCTGGAAGAAATGGGACAGGATTTGAGGATAAATATGTGTTTTGTTTTCTTTTTTTCCTCACTGGTATTATTAGTGTATGCTTTTATACAAAATAGATTCATTTGACTCTATGAACTATTTTTTGTCCAGAGGAAGGCATCAAATGAAGATTATTTAAGGCAGTCCTCTCTCTTTTTCATTTTTTCTATTTTTATGGTAAGATCCATGATACATAACATTTATTACCTTACCTATGCAGTTACCTTATTACCGGCCAATTTAATTCAGTGCAATTAAGTACACTGATAATTTTGTATCACCATCACCACCACCCATTTGCTGAATCTTTTCACCTTGCAAACCCGTCTCATACCGATTAAATATCTCCTTTCCCTCCCCACCATGGAGAGCCCATTCTGCTCTGTATTGGTGTGATTTTCATTACACTAAAGTAGAATCACACAGCATTTATAATGTGGCGAGGAACTTATTTCCCTTACATCATACCCCAAAATTTCATTGACACTGGTGAATACACTAAAATGTTTTTAGGCTCATAGTGTACATATATAAAAAGGATGTTTATGCATTCATCTCCCAGGTGATGCACACATTGTCTTCTTGCTTTTGCTATAGTGATTAATGCTGCTGTGCACATTGGTGTACAAGACTTCTGAGACCCTGCTTTCCTCTTCTTTGCGTGTACACTCAGAAGTGACCTCTCTGCCTCCTAAGGTAACTATAGGCTAATTCCCATGATGAAAGCTGCACTTGCCCAGCTGCTGCACTGTTTTCCTTCCTCCTCCATTGCATGAGGCCTGCAACCATCCACATGCTGAGCAGCTGGGTGTTCCTTCTGTGTGGCTTTGACATTCACCAGCCCTTGGGGACCAAGTTGCACCTGTGTTTCCTGGGTTTCCTACACTGTACCTTTTGTAAGGGTTTTTATGGAGCTCAAGCAGACCAAGGCATCTTCACCGCTGTCT